CAGATGGAATGAACCCATTTGGGACACTAAGTACCCAATATAGCACTTGGTCAGTTCTTCTAACTATCTACAATTTGCCTCCTTGGTTATGCATGAAGTCTAGATACATTATGTTGTCCCTTCTAATATCTGGGCCTAAACAACCTGGAAATGACATTGATGTGTATCTAGCGCCTCTCATTGAAGATTTGAAATTGTTGTGGAATGAAGGTGTCCAAATTTTTGATGCATATAGTAAAACCAATTTCACTTTACGTGCCATGATTTTTTGTACGATAAATGACTTCCCAGCTTATGGGAATTTGTCGGGGTACACTGTGAAGGGAACAACTCCTTGCCCCATTTGTGAAGATGATTTGGAGGCATTACGCTTAGACAATTGTGGCAAGCATGTATACATGGATAATCGCACACATCTTCCTGAAGACCACCCTTTTAGATTCAATAAGGATGATTTTAATGGAAAAGTGGAGTTGAGAGAAGCTCGTGGCCCTTTACGTGCAAGTGAGGTTTATTAGCGGGTCAAAGACATTGAGAATGAGTTTGGTAAGCCTTACAAATTCAAATCAACTGGGGGTTACAAGAAGAAGTCTGAGCTGTGGTCTCTTCCATATTGGAGACATTTGGAAGTTAGACATTGTTTAGATGTAATGCATATTGAGAAAAATGTTTGTCATGCCATTGTGGGAACTTTATTAAATATGCCAGGAAAGACAAAGGATGGAGTTAAAGTAAGAAAAGACATGGCTTCTATGGGTCGTTCAGAGTTGGCACCCGAATCTCAAGGAAAACGCTGGTATCTTCCCCCAGCTTGCTTTACCTTGTCTAAAAAGGAAAAAACTAGCTTTTGTGAGTCATTGCATGGTTTAAAGGTCCCGGCTGGATTTTCTTCTAATTTTCGTAGACTTGTGTCAATGTCTGACTTGAAATTGGGTGGCATGAAATCTCATGATTGTCATGTCTTGATGCAACAATTATTACCAGTTGCCATTCGAGGAATTTTGCCACCTTAAGTGAGGTATACGATTACAAGATTATGTGTCTTTTTTAACACTATCTGTAGCAAGGTCATAAATCCAAGTATTTTAGATGACTTGCAAGCAGATGTACTTGAGACAATGTGTCGATTTGAAATGTATTTCCCCCCATCTTTTTTTGACGTGATGCCTCATTTGGTTATTCATCTTGTACGTGAAATTAAACTTTGTGGACCAGTGTGTATGAGATACATGTATCCTTTTGAACGAGAAATGGGTGACTTAAAGGTAAAAGTCATGAATCCGGCCAAACCTGAAGCTAGTATTGTACAACGAACAGTTGCTGAGGAAGTGGCAGCATGGGTTGCTCAATATCTTGCACGTTCACAGCAAATTGGGTTGCCAAAGTCTCGACACGATGGGAGGCTTGGAGGTCAAGGTATTATTGGCAGGAAAAGGATATCCATGGGCTTTGAAATGAAAAATAAGGCCGAGCTTTTTGTATTGCAAAATCTTAGTGAGGTTCATCCTTACTTGGACGAGCACATGCTTTTTCTTAAAAATAAATATCCTTCCAAAAGTGATCTTCAGCTGATAAAGGAGCATAATTGTTCATTCGTTACATGGTTCAAGGAACGAGTGATGTCCCAACTATCCACCACACCTAACGATATATCTGACACATTGAGATGGTTGGCATATGGTGCTAAATGCCAAGTCATGTCATATGAGGGATACAACATCAATGGGTATTCTTTTTACACTAGCCGACAAGATGACAAGTCAACAATGCAAAACAGTGGTGTTAAAGTCATCTGAGTATGTTAGTGCACATGATAAAAACACTTGTCGTGGATAAGAAGAAATTTTATTATGGAATCATTGAAGAAATAATAGAGCTGGATTATGTTGATTTCAAGATTCCTCTATTTCAATGTAAGTGGGCTGATAGTAGCCATGGTGTAAAAAAAGATGAAGGGGAACTTGACCCTTCTAAATCTTGGTCGTCGAGGGCATCTAGCTGATCCATTTATATTAGCTTCACAAGCAAAACAAGTTTTTTACATGGCTGACCCAGCTGATTGTAAGTGGTCAGTTGTTTTAGAAGGTAAAAGAAGGATACTTGGCATTGAAGATGTGGTGGACGAGGAAGAATATGATGAGCAATTTAATGAGTCACCACCTTCCGTTTGGAGCACCCCTCCAATAGTTGATGATTTTGACACAAAGTTGAAACGAAAAGATCATAATGAAGGATTTTATGTCGCAAAAGAGAAGAATGAAGTAGGTATGAATTCTGTGATTTTTTTTTTTCAATTTGTGTTACTAATTGCATAAATTGCTTATTATTGTTATGTGTACAAGTTTATAATTTAAAAATGATACAAATCGATGTCTTAATTTATTTGTCTTTTTTTTTCTTTTCAGGTAAGGGAGGATGAGGATATGCATAATCGTTCCATATCTTCGCAAGGTGAGGAAGTTGAGCCACACAATCAATCACAATCAGAGCAACAAACAACCGACATTCAGAAGAAGAAAAAGAAGCCAAGAGGTCCTTCAAAGGGCCTGAAATCCATGTCTGGGGTTCCTAGAGTGCTTGAATGGGATGAATTGTGTCGACCCATTGGAAAGTGGGAAAAAGCATACAAAACTCATCTTGGTGAAATAAGCCGTGCAAAGGTGTCTATATTGTATAAAGATTAGAATCAAGTTCCACAAGGAATAAAAGACACTTTGTGGGAAGATGTTAAGGTAATATTCACTATTGAATGTTAAATGTTATACTATTATATGATCATTTTGACATTATTTGAATATGATGAAAACAATTTATTTGAATATGATGAAATTCTTTACTAACTTTTTTTAATTTTTTTAATTTTTTTTGTAGAGAGAGTTTCAAATAGAAGAAGATGAAGACAAGAAAAAAAAGGTCCTACGCACTTGTGATAAAACTTGGAGAGATTTTAAAACAAAATTGGTCAGTGGTTGGATCTCATGTACTAGGAATATGCCGAAGGAGAAAAGAATGACGTATGTACTCTATGATTTCATATCTGAAGATATGTGGAAAACATTTGTGGAGGAGCATAGTACAGATGATTTTAAGGTTTGTGTGTATTAATATCAATGATCATGCAGGTTATTAATACTTTGTTAACGGATTCTTATGTACTAATCTTCATTTATGCTCGTGAAAATAGAAAATCAGTGAGAAGGCAAGACAAAGCCAGTCTTTCAACGAATACCCTCACCATTTAGGAGCCAAATCATATGGTGAAATGAATATTGTATGGCGTAGAAAAGGGTATATTCCCACAGCTTCTTCAGCATCCAGTACTTCATCTTGTTCTTCGGTTGTGTCTAGTTTGCCTGATAGGACATATGCTTGGCTTTTAGCAAGATCAATAGAAGATGATAAGGGAAATCCTTATTTGCCGGATGAGAAAACAAGAGAGGTGAAAGAATCCATTGTAAGTATATAATAAGTCTTTATTTCAATTTTTAATATATTTTGTTAAGTTTATGTATTGCAACCAAAGTTTTCTAACTTGAAGTCTTTGTGTAGGATAATTGGAGAAAGCAACAAGCTGATGGAAAATTTGTTCCTAATAGGCATGATGATATCTTATCTCGTGCCCTTGGGAAAAAAGATCGTAATGGTCGGGCAATAGCATTTGGCAGTGGAATTGGCATTAAAACTGTATGGGGATCCGGAGAGAGGCGTAGTGGCCGACGTGGTAGGGAATTCGGAGATGCTGAGCTGGAAGAATTAGAGGCAAGAGTAGCCCGGAGGGTACGGGAGGAGACTATGCAGGAGATGGATTCTAAAATGGATTCCATGGTTCAAGAGAAGTTTATGTTATTTGCTAAACAAATTGGTATTCAAATTCCAACTGAATTGATGGAAATGAATAACATAGGCCGGACGACTCAACAAAATCCTAGTAGTTGACAATCAGTGGGTGATGATCCATTTGCAAACATACAGGTATCCAAAACTTTGTTATTTTATATTTTTTATCTTTTTTTTTTGTAATGATTTATGACTGCGACATACTTTTAACTTTGTAACTCAGTTTTCTTTTTTGTTTATAATGATTTTTTTCTATCTTTGTAAGGAACCGGTTCCATGTCTGCTATCATTGTTGAAAAATGACTCTGAGAAAGTCATTGTCGCTGAAGGTACATATCATCCGGAGTTAATCCTTGATCATCATAGTAACCTCCTTCCAGATCACGTGAGGGTAAGTGTTAATGATTTTTTTGACGAGTTCAAAGAATTCTCGGTTCCAGTTCCTTCTTCAGTCATCAAGAAACTTAAGCATGCTCACGGTACATTTACCCAATGGCCGAAAGACTTGGTTTCACTCATGCATGACAAGGTAAATTATTTTTGTAACAATTTACTTATAGTTTTCCATACAAAATATAGCAAATTGTTGAATAGATTTGCTTTACTATTGATTAGGAATTCATATCAAATAAGAACGATGATAACAACAAAGCGGCCAAAGAAAACATGCAAGACAAACTGAAAGTAGTTGAAAGTGGTCACGAAACAAAAGAATCCAACACCAATCCAAAAAAAGTTTTTCTTATGGATTATGCTTTGGAAAACTTGTCTCAGAAGTGTGGGTCTTTGAATGGTTTGTTATCTTCATTACCCGAAGGTGAAACTATTAAGGTAAAGGTTGATGCTTGGACCTTTAGTTATGAAGATAGTAAGGACATCATTATCAGACGTGGAGATGTCAATCAACTTCTCACGGGAGCTTGGCTGAATATTTCAGCTTTGCAAGTTTTTATGATGTAAGATATTCAAATTTCACTCTTCCCATATATACTTATTTATTACCATTTATAATGTTATTACATGATATATATGTAGGGCCTTGAGTGACTTACTCGATACGGTGGATGTGGCTTCCATTGGATTCATGTGTCCGGAAATGATTTCAGAAACCTATTTGCATAGTGTTGCATATCGTATCCTGCTATACATGACACATGTGATAACAAAAATCTAAGCAGTTCATCTTATGCCCATACCATGAAAAGTATAAACTTTGAACTTGTATTTATTTGAACTTTGCAAATTGTTGATATTATTTTACTCTTTTACAAATGTGTGTCTAATTTATTATGTAGGAATCATTGGGTTCTTTTGGTCTTATGCATGGCTAAGCGTGAAGTCATCATCTTTGATTGTTTGAGGCAGAAGCGAAATTTAGCAATTAAGTTTGCAATGACAAAGTAAGTCTAGTTTGTTATTAATGTCATGATTTTATGTGTGTAAGGATATCATATATGTTATTTGTTTCAAATGTGTAGTGCTTTTCGAAGTTTCAAGGCATTAAGTGGACAATCTAGGGGAAGTAAATTAACATGGCATTTGGGACAGGTTACCTTAATTTCTTACCCTAACTTTTAGTTTCTTAATAATTTAAGTATAGCAATTTAATTCAACTTATAAATATAATACATGTAGTGTCCTCAACAATTGGGTGGAGTGAGTGTGGCTACTACGTCATGCGTTATATGTACGAAATACTTGAACATCACCAAAGCAGTGAGGATCTTATTCAGGTATGAGTTGTCAAATATTTCATTTTTGTTTGATAAATACAATTTGATGTTAGCTACAATCTTGAATTAAAACTTTCCTATTGTATATTTGTTGTGTTGATAGGATTTTTCAAGAACTACACCGTACACCGAGGAGGAGATAAATGAGATTCGAGATATTTGGGCAGAGTATTTTATATGTAATGTTGAACTTTTGATTTACACTTAGCGCATGTTGGACTCTTGTTTTGGATTATAGGCTTGACATGAAAGATTTTGGTTAATTGGTGTTGGGATGATGAGTATAATGTCTATGATATTGAGATGAAAATTATTGGACAGGTTGTTAATATAATGTCGTCATTCCCAATTTTATGGGTAGGCCAAAATACAAAGGAGACTCTGCCGAAATTTACATTTGCATTATTCAATAATATTGCATTTTAATTTCAATTATATTAGCGTTAGCATATAACTTTATACCACTAGCAAGGAAAACAGGTACTAAAAACATATACAAGGCAATTATTATAATTAAAAAAAAAAATTCACCTCTTTTGCGTCACTCATTAAACAAACAAGTGACGCAAATAAAGCAATTTTGTATTGTCTAGTCAGTCATTTGCGTCACTCCTATATAAACAAGTGACGCAAATAACAAACAAGAAGTTTATCAGAAGACTCATTTGCGTCGCTCCTTTATAAAGGAGTGACGCAAATAACAAACAAGAAGTTTATCAGAAGAGTCATTTGCGTCACTCCTTTATAAAGGAGCGACGCAAATGATTCTTATTTGTGTTGGGCCTAGGAGCGACGCAAATGATTTTTTAAGTCATTTGCGTCGCGAGCAGTTGCGTCGCTCATAGAAGCGACGCAAATACACTATAAATGAGCGACGCAAATACCCTGTCACTCTTTGATCTTCCTTGGAGCATATCGTTACTACTTTGGGGCCAGGGTTTGACGATTGGAAATGGCGACCCTCCACCTTACTAGTTGCATTTGGCAGACTTGGTGTTTATTCTGCAGGTGATGTTCGTCATTATGCCTTTCTTGCCTCTCGGTTAAAGCCTGCTGGGTTACAGACAAAGCTTTTACGGCATGATGGCGTTGTTGGCCTTGGTTGAGCCTTCGCGGATGCGTTGCTTCTTTATAATGGAGTGGTTGAGTATGACATTCTGAGTAATCCTAGTGAGCTTGCTGCCCCTAAACTCATGAAGAAATTGGCAGATATATATTTCACAAAGGTTACCCCATCTGTAGAATTCACCTTCTCTTTGTCTCCTCGTCAATCAGCATTGTGGAGATCGCAGCAAGGAGTTCACACCTCTTCTTGGATATGGGCTGTCCCTATTTTTGGGTTGGGTCAGACGATGAACAGGAAGATATACCGATGTGTGCTGTGCTACCGGATGGGTGTTCCATTATTCTATGTCGGGACGCTGTGCTCTGCTTGTTCCCGAGTTTTTACTGGGGATATTTTCAGCGACCACACGGTGTCATGTTATGGTATTGTGGGTATTAGACATCGGCATAATGTTGTTCGGGATATCCATGTTGATATTTGCAACAGATCCGGGATTTCAGCAAAAAAGGAGGTTGACATAGGATTGTCTGGTGGGAATGACGGGGCCCTCAGACCTGTCGATGTGTTACTTTATTCATGGGATTGTGGTCGTGATGTATGTGTCGAATTCACAAGGTCTTCTCCTTTGACACATACAGGGCTAGCTGACTTTATTCTTGGACGATTTGTGGCTGATGTGGCTCATCGGAAGCGAGTTAAGAACGAAGCTCGTTGTAGGGAGAATGTATATGGTTTCATTCCCTTCTCCTTTTCTTCTCTTGGGGAATTAGAGAAGGAGGCTGTTGCGTTGCTGAAGTGAGTTCAGAGGTTATCGACGACATAAGACATTGGGGCTCGTGCAGCAGCTCATATCTTCCCTAGGTAGGCTTTGCTATAGCTAGAGAAGTGGGAGCCCAGATTGTATATCGGCTTCCCACTAATTTATTGTAGGTTGTTTGACTTTTGTTTTTGAGATATAATAATAATAATAATAATAATAATAATAATAATAATAATAATAATAATAATAACAACAATAATAATAATAATTGTCTGGGCTTTCTATAGAACTTTATGGGCTTTCTGACTTTGATCCTGGACGGGTAGTGACTGATGCGGACAATCGGAAGCGGGTCAAGTACGAATCTAATTGTCGAGCAATTGGATATGGCTTCCTTCCTTACTCTTTATCTTCTCTTGGCGAGTTAGAAAAGGAGGTTGTTGTATTACTAAAGCGGATCTACAAGTTCTCAAAGACTGATCACGGCATTGGGGCGCGTGCTACAGCTCATATTTATACTAGGATCAGTTTTTCTATAGCTAGAGAGTGGGAGCCCAGATTCTATATGTTGTATAACTCTATATGTGTAGACACCCATTTGTGTCTCCCCAAAACTAAACCCAGTGATGAGTACCTTTCACGTCGAATCATAATCGAATGAAGCGAAAGTGTGGAAAGGTCTAGTGTTGCGGAAAGTTTTTATTTTCTTTTCTCTTCTCTCTGTTTTTGAAAACTTATTTTAAGAAAACAACCAATCCAGTTTGGTTGGTCCATGATATGGGTCCAATAGTAGTGTAGTTGGATGGGGCTTGCAAAGACCTTTCCAACGATATATTATAAGCCCAATTCCGATGAATATTGAGGAAGTTATGGTCAATTTACTAAACTGGGCCCGGTTTGAGCTTTATGTACGGCCCAATGATCTTGGGGAGGGCCTAATATGATTTATCAGTCCTAATTCAATTAGCATTGATAATTTGACTTTGTTGACTTTTCAGAGTTTGAATCAAGATCAAATAGCATTTTTGAAGAAATTATATTATTTTTATCCTCTAGTACGGTAAACTTATCAGATTTTTCGAAAACGCGTTAAAATCGAGCTTGGCGTCCAACCCCAGGCCTTGGCGCGATTGCGCCTGGCGCTAGTGCTGGTGCCTGGCGCCAGCTAGTCAGGGTTGGCGCCAGCTCTGTTTTCTGAGCGTCAGACTCTGTTTTGTTAAATTATCCTTTTTGGCTGATTTTCTTTATAAATATCGTATTAAAAACTCCGTTTTCATTCACGAATTCTCACCATTCATTCACCAATTATCACCATCTACATTCATTCACCAATTTTCATCATCTACATCCATCATTCATCAACAATCATTATTCTTTAGCATTCTCTAAATCATTCATCTTTCTCTTCATCTTTCAATTCTCTAAACTTTGTTTTCACATACAAAATTCCGCATTCACAAGATCTAGAAACACCTAGCCATATTCGAAGTTGCCTTCGCCCTAGACGTGAAAGGTTTTAATTTCTGAGGGTTTGGTCCCAAATCTCTCTTTCAATTATTTAATTTAATTGTTTGATTATTATTTTCCTTGAAGTTACTAACGTGTGTATTTTGTTATTAGAAAGAGGTATGAGGCATCAAAGTAAGTACTTTAATGTTTTATTGATGTTATGATGTTGAAATCATGTTTACATTGTTGTTATGATATTCCTAGTATCATGTCTAGGGTAACTTTAATATTAAATATGATTGTTACGATGCTTCCTATGTTCTTCCTAATACTTATGATTGTTAGTATCATGTTAGGGTTAAAGATTTGATTTTTATTGCTTAGTGACATGCTAGGGTTTGTTATTAATCTTGTTAGTATCATGCCTAAGCTAGGATCTTGCTATGTTTATTATGCTTTAATATTAACATGAACATGATTATAATTGTTATAATTTATAATTATAATTATTGTTATGATTATTATTGTGTTGCTTGATATTTATATTGTTATTGCTTGATCACACCTTTTATGCATGTTTAAAGGGAATTTGTACTTGTAATCACGCTTAATAAGATAGTTAATAATCTTGTTTAGGTTTAATGTGATTATAATTCAAGTGATCGCCAATAATAGTTTATTTGTGCATTAATGTTCAACCAACATAGATTAAACAGGTTTAGGATTAATCCTATTGATTGCATGTTAATCAGAAAGCGCACATGAATACGATCAGAATAAAGTAGAGGCCTATTATTAGGGCAGATTCAATCTCTTTTAGGTTGGATTTGTACCTTCATCCCCGAACCCTTATTTGGTTCAAGACCTTATGGAGTTGAAGATCTCTTGGATCGTTAAAGGGTGTAACCTTTACCTCGTGAACGGTTCACAAGTTCCTTAAAAAACTTGTTGGCGACTCTTTTGCTCTATCTTCTTCCCTTTTGGACGCCACCGTACTTTAGTGTATGATCACAGTGGGGTTCAAGATAGTGGGATTTAAAGGCTTGAATTATTCCCTACAATATGATTTTGAGATATAATAATAATAATAACAACAACGGCTACTACTACTACTACTACTACTACTACAACAACAACAACAACAATAAAAAGAGATTTATAAGGAGGTATATGGCAAATTTTTCATCCTAATGTGAGATAGTGTTAGTTTTTGTACTACGTGTCCATCAACAAGTTGTCAAACTATGTAAAACTTATTTAATACTAAGCTATAATATGTAAAATGATTTTTACATTTTAAAAAAATCATCATTATAAAAAAATTACTCAATAGTATGGGTCTAAATTAGTTCTCAAATTTCTACATCGTACGAATTTTAAAAGATAATGTTTAATGTTTTTTTAAAAAAACTTTGTGACGTAAGCAGAAAGAATGTTTTTATCTGCTTAGGTATAATTTTATATTGTCATGAGTTCGTTAGTATTTCTCCTCCCTTTTCTCAGAACCTAATATTTAGTTTTTATAACACGATCTCTCTCCTAAAAATCATATGTTTAGATGTTGCTAAATTTTCCCCAATACCGAACCAGAAATATGCGTTTTAATTT